GAGTGGGGGGTGGTACTAGAGATATAGCTCAGTTGGTAGAGTACTTGCCTAGAATGCACAGGTCCTGGGTTCAATCTCTAGCACCAAAAAAAAAAAAACAAAAAAAAAAAAACCTGAGGGGGTTAGGGATGTAGCTCATTGATGTAGAAAAGTACATCCCAATTAAAACACTCAGAAATAAGATATAGAAGGAAATATATCCTATAGCATACACTTTTGGGAGGGGCGCTTAACCACTGAGCAACATTCCCAGCCCTATTTTATATTTTAGTTAGAGTTAGGGTCTCACTGAGCTGCTTAAGGCCTTACTAAGTTGCTGAAACTGACTTTTGAATTCACTATCCTCCWGCCCTAACCTCCGGAGCCACTGGGATTACAGGTATGTGCCACAGTGCCTGGTTTACCATACACTTTCATCTGTTAAAAAATACGTTATCTTGGAACTCTTTGCAGTAATTAGGAACAAAATGCAAATCATCTCAACTGTATTAGATACTAAATTTTTCAAGCTAAAAATTGTAGATTAATAATTTTATCAACCAACTGATCTAAAACCTAGAGACTCAGTGCCACTTAATTAATTTTAGGAAAAAGTATTAAATTTTCATAAAAACTATGATCTCTTTTTTAAAAAAAACCTTAAATATTTTATTAGAATCTCATTTCCTTCCTTTTGGTCAGTGAAAAACTTTTATGAAACCAAGTAATTTCAAATTAAAGGGCTGGGAGCACTTGACTAGCATACTTGAGGCCCTGAATTTGATCCCTAGCACCAACCACAACAAAACAAAACAAAAACTTATAAATTACACATCACATACTATCAACAAGTCTCTATACAAAAAGTGTACTTAATAAGAATGAGCCTTTCTTTCTCTGATGAGACATCAYTGAGACAATGTTATTTCATTACATACCCTAAAGATGTTTAATTCCATTCAATACATAGATCCTATTTTCTTATAAACAACACATAGTATGAAGTTTCGTATATTATAAACAAAAAAGAAAAGCCTCCAAACTTCTTACAAATTTAAAGATTACATAGAGACTGGCTATAACTCTTAATCTACACTAAGAAAATAAGAAAAATTAGCAATGAAGTAATAGTAAAAGAAGGAAGTTTTATTTTAAAAATTAAAACAGATTTTAAGGCTTCGGCTGGATTTTTCACCAGAGGAAGTACGTCGTTTTGAGGCGCTTTTCTCCTTTACCTGGGCTAAGCAATGGCTAAGCCAGCAGGGCCTGAGACAAGCCTAGGCTGCAAGCCAGGAAGACTGGGACAGACATAAAGCAAAGTGAACAAATAAGTAAATATATTAGGGATGAGACTCAGGTTTCTCACTGTCAAAGAAAGTTATTATTACGTAAAATGGGAACACCTAAACCAAGATTCGGTTACCAATGTGAACTAACGGATTTTATTGTTTACTAAATATTGTTATTAAATATTAATATGTACATCAACATATATTTCCAAGCTTTGTCTACTGAAAGGGTCTACAAACTTACACTCAATATCAATGAGCATTAACTTGTATACCAATAGCTTCCCCCTACTTAAAAGAAAAAAGGCTCCTTGGGAAAATGCATGACTCTAAGACTGAGAGAGAAAAAACAAGGTGGCTCAGATCATCCTGTTATATCAAAAAGTAAAAAGTGCTCAAAGAATGGTGGGTTTGTGTCAAAAAGACAACCATCAGCTTGAAGAGACAACATGGACCAAATCTGGAACAATTTAAGCATAAAAATAAGTAACAACAGTTAAACACTATAACTTTAAAGTAAGAATGACATATATCTATGCCTATATAAATAAATAAGAAAAATCTTAACTAAGGTAAAAGTTAATATTATCATTGATGTGAACAATGATGAACATCACGAGTCTCCTGATATGCTATGCAATGATTATAGTGAGGGGTTTTTTTTGTGTACATTATTCACATCATAAAAGAAAACACACAAATTATGAAGAAACATCAGGTTAACCCACTTTCAAGTATAAAGTAAGTGGCCTATACTCCTCACAAATATCAAGGTTATAAAGGACAAGAATTATTTCAGATTGAAAGAATAACATTATTTTGAATTAGATCTTATACCTATAAAGGACATTATTTAGATGAAATATAAATGGGATCTAGGGAACAGATGGTAATTTTGCATTTTTTAATTTTACAAGTTATACACTGATTATAGAGAATGTCTCACATATCCTTTAGGGGAAAAAAAAAGAGAAAACACACTCTAAAGTATTAAGTAGTAAATGGGCATCATGCCTACGTTATACTCAAACAATATGTGTATATGTGTATATATCTATAAACAAATAAATGAATATGGGAGAAAGAAGGATGGAGGAAGACACAGGGAAGGAGGACAACAAACAAATGTGGAAAACTGGGAAATGAATATGTAAAAACCCTTCCCATTAATTTTTGCCCCCAATTTTTCTATAATTTTAAAMTAATTGAAAAAAACGTTTCCCTGAGAACAATTATTTATAATGTTTTACTGATAAATTCATTTGAGGAAAGAATATTCTATTATTTTGAACAGGGAAAAAAATTATCTATCGAAGACAAAAAGATTTGCTAAAATAACTTTGCTAGTCTCTTTGGTCCTGTGATAAAAGATCACCTAGAATTTAATGAGCACTAAAAATAATATTAATAAAAATACCATCTGACTCATAACAAAGAATCATTTCTCTACCCACCTCTAAATGGGTTAAACATTTTTTTGAAGCAGGAGACAGAGAAGTAGACTGGTATGTACTACAGTGCCGTTTCTGTTGGACTTTTCTCTTAATTTCAGGTTCTACTTGTGATTCAGACTCTTCTGTTTTCTTCATTATACGTTCTAAAGGAAGGAGAAAAAAAAGCATTGAAATTAAATTTAATAAATTCCTCATGATGTTTACTATGAAAAAACTCTAGTTTTAATATTCTCAATATTTAAGTTTAGTTAAATAGCGTATCAACATGTATGATAAAGAATAACCTAAACTTTAAAACTAAGTTTCGACCTTTTCATTCCTCAGCAGGATTTCTACACTGCAGACTACTTCAAATGTTCTCTTCAAATTATTCTTGTCACTAAGRCACTTAAAAGCACTTTCTACACTGAACTACACACATATCCTCCCACCCTCCGAAGCAGATTAGTTATACTTCTTGGATTAATAATGAGAAAAAAAAAATCTGAATTCAAACATTAGGTACATTCATTAAGATAAAGCCAAACTAATGCTCAAGCTAATGTTTAAGTTCAAGAAGTACAAAAGAGAATTTTCCTCCTTATCTTTCAATGTAAATTTAAATGTCCTACTTGGATAATCCCAACTTGGTTAAATACTTATCTTTAATATCCTCTTCTATCTYGTTCTTTTTACAAAAAGAGATTACATACACATAAAAATCAACATTATCTAATATTTTGCTTGATATAAAGTTCTATTAAAAGGGGCTGGGGTTGTGGCTCAGTGGTAGAGCACTCGCCTAGCATGTGTGGCGTCCTAGGTTTGATCCTCAGCAACACACAAAGATAAATAAAGGTACTGTGTCCATCTACAACTAAAAAATATTTTTAAGATAAATTCTATTAATAAATTCTATTAAGAAACCTCTGTAATTATTCTTGTTTATTGCAGTCATACAGAATTTCACTAAGTGATTATCACTCTCTTAGCCTCTGCACCTTCATATTCATAGATAATGGTATCAGAATGGACTATTCCTTGTCTTATTTTCTTCACTTTGAAGAGAATTCTACTTTCTAACAGCTCTTAAATTCAATCTCTTCTTTCCAGCTTCACTGCTTCTACATTTCAGATGTTTAACTTGTCTAATTTTATCTTCCTGACTCCAATTTTGCTCCCTTCATTCAGATCATTCTCCACTATTGAGAAAGTTTTCTACCACAAAAAAATGTGACTTTGTTATTCTAATACTAAAAATTTTACCATGATTCTAGCAGCTGAAGAAAAAAAAACCTTGACTAAATACCATCTTCTGGTAAGCAAAAGTTCATGTTAATGTTTCAGTCTTACTTCCAAACTTTACCTTTCAAAGAAGAGTATTTCTCAGGGTATTTTCTAGTTTACCCTATTTTATATGCTATTCTCTTCACAAGCAAAAGCTACCCAATTTATCCAGTGAATTCAAATTTTTATTTGCTAAGAAACTGCCTCTGTCCCATCCTAGGAACAATAAAGCAATCATTGGAGTTTCCACAGCACTTTATCTGTACTCATTTTATTATTATTTATCTGTACTTGTTACTCCCTATATATTGTTAGCTCTGAAAAAACAGAAATCATGTTTTAGACACATTTCCCCAGCATCTAAAAATTGCACAAGGGTAGACAAATGCTACTATATTAATAAGCCACATGAGAAAAGAAAAACCAAGACATATTAAAAAGTTGAAATTATGGGGGTAGGGGGCTATGGAGAGGTTAGTAGATCATCTCCAAAAATCACTTAACTTTTGCTACAGTGAGATGATTTGTGCATAGATTTAGAACTATCCTTTAGCCTCTARTCATGGAGAAAAATTGAAAGATACTTCTTTTTCTCTCCAAAAACCTAAGGTTACTGAAAAAACACTCCAGTCATCCAAATGCTAATAATTTCCATGTATGCTAACTTACTTTGTTGGTTGCCTAAATATAAAAAGAATTTTCTATACAAGTTGATTATTAATGAGCTATAATGTGGCATTTTAAAATATATATCAACAGAGTCACCTAGAACATAACTAATTACATGCAAAACTTAATTTATGGTAGAGTAGTATTAACATATGGTTACCCCTTCAGAGTGAGGGGGCTAATAATTTAATTGAAGCTACTCAAAAGACTGAGGCAAGAGGATCACTTGAATCCAGGAGTTCAGGAATAGACTGGGAAACACAGACTTTGTCTCAAAAACAAAACAAAGCTGGGTGCAGTAGTGTAGGCGTATARTCTCAGGGGCTCAGGAGGCTAAAGCAGGAAGAACAAAAGTTAAAGCCAGCCTGAGCAAGGAACAATGAGGCACTAAGCAACTCAGTGAGACCCTGTCTTTAAGTAAAATACAAAATAGGACTGGGGATGTGGTTGAATGTCCCTGAGTTCAATTCCCAGTTCTCAAAACAAAAGGATATGACAATAACACACACACACACAAAAAAAAAGACCATGCTCCTTTCCACAATTTATTTCTTTTTTCCCTTACTAAATTCAATACAATACAATGGAAAGCCCTTTCCTTACAAACAGATTTTACTAAACTTTGAAAGCCACACATAATTGTACTCAAATATGTATATAATAACCTTTCTGGCAGGATCTATTTAAAAACAAATTACACAGAACAGAATACATAATATTTAAAACATGGGCATACAATCCTCTCTTGGTATCTATGGGAGACTGGTTCTARGACCCCTTCCAGATATTGAAACCTGTAAATATTCAAGTCACTTAACAGGAAATGATGTAGAGTATCTGCATAGAATCTATGCACATCTTCCTATACACTTTTTTTTTTTTTAGTTGTAGATGAAAAAAAAAATCTTCATTTTATTTATTTATTTTTACGTGGTGCTGGGGATTGCACTACCCAGTGCCTCACACACGTGACGCAAGTGCTCTACCACTGAGTTACAACCCCAGGCCCCTATATGGTTATTTGTTTATTAATTTATTTATTTTTGTAATTATAGGTGGACAGCATGTCTTTATTTGTTTACTTTTATGTGGTACTAAGGATCAAACCCAGTGCCTCATATATGCTAGACAAGTGCTATACCACTGAGCTATAGCCCCAGCCCCAGCCCTTCCTGTACATGTTAAATCATCACTAGATTATTTATCATCTCTAATACACTGTAAATGCTATAAAATTAGTGATACTGTGATGTTTATGGAATAACAATAAGACAAAAGTCTGTACATGGTTAGAACAGAGAGTTTTCTTTTTGTGAACACATTTGATGTGTGATTGGTTAAATCCTCAGGTGCAAAAATCCAAGGCTCTGGAGGGCTGACTGTATATACATAAAAAAGGCCTGAAAGTGATGCTGTATTAAAGTGCTAATGGCAGTTAAACTGACTAGTTCACTGTGAGGAAATACTTTTCTTTGATGTATCTGAGTTAAAACAGTGATAAATCAAGTTACTGAGTTGTAATCACACAATATAATTATATTAAAACACAATGTACACTTAGAGATAGCACAGAATGTCAACCAATTCAATTTGAGAAGGATACAAAAACAGGCTAAAAAGTTAAACAAAAGGACAGGTAGATAGGGGAAAAAATGAGCAATCTTAATATATGAGTAATTATTATTTTATGTTTGGAAAAATTTAAAAAGAACACTTTCCCACAAAAAACAATAGGACACATGGTCCTACCACAAATTATATGCAATAGTTTTCAAGTTTTAAGTTTTTACTAACAAAACTGCTTATTAAAGCTAGTAAGTGCTGATATATGGCTTACCAAAATACATATTAAGTGCCTTTTAAATTCAAAATAAAGGGGTTTGATAGAATGATTTTTAAAAAATTATCTTGATGTTAAGAACTACAGAAAGACAGTGATTTCTTTCTAAGAGAAGATAATTACTTAAGCTCTGCCACTAACAACTTGGATCCTAGGAATTCCAAATGGAATTTTAAACAAATGCAATCTTCATAGAAAAACCTATGTGATATTATTATAGTAATGTAATTCATCCTATACCCAAGCATATGTGTCTACCACACACAAAAGAAACTGAAAACAGCAGGCTCTGTTGAGTTTTCATTAAGTTAAACAAATGATACAATATTTCARTATAATTTTCTTCCTTTCAAAAAAAATGTTGACAAGATAAATATCAATATTCCTCTCCAGAAATTTCTAAGTATTGCCATATGAATTTCATTTATTAAATATGTCCACAGATATAATCAAATACATAGAAGGTACAACTCTTCCCTACAGAAGAAATAATAAATGTAAAATAGACAAAGAAAATAGAAAATGACCATTAACAAACATAAAACAATAATTACTGCCAGTACAAGAATAGATTCTAAAATCAGAGGGTAAAAGTTTGAGAAACAGAATACTGCACAGTTTAAGGATCTCATCTAAGATATTTACTTAGTGACAAGGGAAAAGAAACAGTGAYTTTCAGTAAAGAAACCCAACAGAAACTACCTTAAACAAGTAATCATAGTTTATATCCTCAGTAATTAATGTATTCATATCATGTAATTGCTGATGTGAAGCATGAAAAGGGCACAACATGATTTCTATATGAACCTTGTCAAAAATGCAGAGACTSAATCTCATTGTAAGACAACATCCTCCAACCCAAACTAAGAAGCATAGCACAAAGCAATTAATACAACCTTCAAAATCTTCAAGAAAACAATGATAACTAGATGCAATGTAGGATCCCAGATTGGATGCTGGAAGAGAAAAAGGACATTAGTGAGAAAAGGATACTGGCAGTCTTGAGGAACCGATCACCTAGTAGCTGCTATCTGAAACTGAATCAAAACATTAATTCTACAGCGGTATGAGTTAGGAAGGCTGTGGGAAAGTGGTGCAAGGCAACCCAGAGAACTAGGAAACCAGGTACAACCCTGAAATACCAGAYTTTAGAGTAAAAAGAGAATGATTAAAAAAAAAAAAAATGGACTTCACCAGCACTGTGTTCACAATGGCTTCATTGGGAAGGGAAGCTCCCCTCCAGCGAGCTGAAAGTGTCACAAGAAACTGTTTCTTAAAAAGAAATCAGTCTGTCTATAGTTCTTAACATGAATCTTTAAAATGATTTTCTTTATTATTCTATCTGACCACCTTTGCTGACAGCCATAG